AATATAATATAAATAAATAAAAAACAGAAAATAAAATGAATAATATATATATTTATTAATAATTTATATTAATTAAAATATAATATAAATAAATAAAAAATAAAATAATAATAAAATAAAAACTAATGATAACAAAAGGACAAAAAAAACAAAAAAAATCATAAAACAAATTATTTGAAAGCAATGGTAACGGCTTGGGGTGCCATTAGCCTCCCTCACACGAAGAGAGTCCGGAAGAAAGAGATCTAGATATGAAACAGAAGCATCTGGAAAAGATCCTGACAAAAGAAACCAATCATGACTTAACTTTTTTATTTCAATTCATGGAAACAATCATTTTATTCGGTGTTTTTAAATTATTACATTTAAATTTCATGATTGCTTATAAAAATAATTTATTGGTTTTTTTTAGTATGACATCGATAATAAACACTTTTGAGTGTTTGGATAAATAACTCATACCGGAACCAAACTGGTAATAAGAAAATCATTCTTTTCTCAACAGAACATCTGTAACTAATATTTCGAAGTTCATAGAAGACGATCCACCGACAGCGACAGCTTCTTCCGCTTTCTTCTTCCACTCTAAAGCCTTGTTCTTCAACATCTTCCCTTTCCTCCCATCCATCATCTCCCTAACCTGAGCCTCAACCTCCCCCCTCTTCACATTCGTATCGATTTCCATCCCAATCCCCCATTCTACACAACAATACCGACAATTCGTCGGTTGCTCAGCAAAAAACGGCCAACAAATCACCGGAATCCCATGGCTAATACTCTCAATAGTCGAGTTCCAGCCACAATGAGTCAAGAACCCGCCTATTGCCGGGTGCTTCATAACCTCTTCTTGAGGGCACCAGCTAGTCACCATGCCCCTCCCTTTGGTCTCATCGACAAACTCTGGTGGCATCATGGCTTCATCCCCTCCGACGATATCCGGCCTGGTTATCCACAAAAAACCCTTGTTGCTATTAGCAAGCCCCCACCCAAACTCGATGAGTTGTTCTTTTGTCATGATGGTAACACTTCCAAAGTTCACGTAAACAACTGAGCCTGGGTCTTTTGTGTCGAGCCAACTGATGCAACTCGTGTCTTCCTTCCAGAGGTTGGATCCTATGTGGTTGAGTCGGTCATCGTGAACATGTTGTTGCATCAAATGAAGTGGACCTATGGTGAAGGTTCGTGGGTTCAATACAGTTAAGGGTTTAATGATGTCGTGTTCTAAGGCGTCGAATGTGTTTATGACGACAGCCGAGCCTCTAGGAAGAGCGTCAGATTCTGTGATGAGATAGTTGAGCAAGATGTCGTCTATGTCTGTGGTTCGAATCAAGCTGGGGAAATCCCTTAATTTGATATCGCTGTTCATCCCAGGAATCCAATCCAATTTTGTTTCCAAATACCCATTTGTAAGGTCGCTCATATCTGTAAATAATAATTCAAACTTAAACAATATAGAAAGCCGAAAAAGTCCCAATGAAGATTAGTGTTTGGAATGATTAAATTATTGGATAATTTTTTGGAACAAATAAGTTTTTGGACATTTCAAAACATGCTAAATAATTTTCTTGAACTTTTTAAAAATGTTAGATATACACCCTTATGACTTATACAACCGGTTAATATGGTAAAAATTCTGAAAGTGATTCACCTTTGAGGGGAGTATATCCCTTTTCAATAAGATCACGATAGTGAGTGTAACCCAAAAGCCCACAAGCACTTGTCGTCCAGAACAGCACTTCCGGCAACCCAAACCTTTCGGCAGCTTCAAGAGTAAAACTCATGCACCCATCCGAAATTATACAGCTCACCGGCGGAACCTCCGCACCATTAAGCCTACCCACCAGCTCACAGAAAGGTTCCAAACTGTGCTTAGAAATAGATTCACAGAGGGCGGGGAGTGACTGGGTGGCTTCGGCGTCAGATGGCGGAAGTCCGTCAGGAATGGAGTAGAAACAAAAATCCGGTAGGCCGTCAATGGAGGAAGGACCTCGAGATCGGAGCAATCGSTTATGGTTGTAGTGGGTGTTGACGAAGGAGATATGGAAGCCTCTGAAGTGAAGGAGCTTAGCAAGCAACATCATGGGGTTGATGTGACCTTGGGCTGGATAGGGGATACAGACTGCATGTGGCTTCTTCATTTTTGCCGTGAGAACCATATCTGTGTCTGTGTGTGGTTATGGTGATCTACAGATATTAGTGTTGGGAGTTGCCGAGTTTTATAAAAGGGAGAAGGGCAAAAATGGAATTTAATATTTTGTAACTAAATTAGTGACTCAATAATGTGATGACCTACAACCGTTGACATGATACCCGCAATTCTCACGTGTTTCATTATAAATTAACATAACCTTTTTTTTTTTTTTAAGGAGTTCTTACCTTTAAATCCAGGTAGAAATAAAAATCGTTTTGTAGTTACGGAGATTCAAATACGGTGATTTTAGACTACCTATAAAGTAGGTGGTTGTCCTAGAATTAGTCGACTAACAAAGTGGGTTGGACATCCAGGTTAATAAAAAAAAATCTTTTTTTTCTTTTCGGCTCACTATCGATGTACCTTTTTGCAATATTTCATGTTTCATGTTTATGACTTTTGTCTATAAGAAACAAATATAGGGATATTTTCACAAAATCATCATTGCTCTGTAGGTTATTTCTTGATTTTCATATGTGAGGTCTTGTGTTCAAGTTTTTTAATGCAATCATTTCATTAAACATAAAAAATATGAAAATAAAAGCTAAAAACTGACATCAACAAGATTCGAACTCGGGTCTGACGTGAAAAAAAAAAATCTTGGAAACTAACTCTACCAAGAAAAATTTGTGTTCTCATCATAGTTTTAAACTGTATTTGGTGATACACAACAAATTGATACAAACACTTTTCGTGACCCTATAATTTTGTAGTATTTTACTTTTTTTAATCAACATTTTTAAAAATAAGGGGCCAAGATGTATACATTAAAACTTCAAGGGCCAGATAGGAAACATATTCCAAGTCCTTCATCCTTTTCATCGGCGTCAAATTCCGACGACCTTCCATTTTCCGGCGAAAACCCCTTTTATTCCCCTTCTCCAACCTTCGACCCTCCTGTTAATTTCTTTCTTCTCCCTCCCTACACACTATCGAGGCAAAAGCATACGATGGGTAGTTTCACGGAACAGGGGGGAAATCGGCGAGATGAGGCGCTATTAGAGAACAGGGTAGCATTGACGGATATTATCGACAGTCAAAATTCGTCAGTAATTTTCGAAAGATTACTGATGGATTCAACAATTAAAAAAATAAAAAATTGAAAATCAATTATCGGTCGGAAATACGTCAAAAATTACCGACGGATTTCCAATGGACTGATTAATTAAAAAAATAATAAATAATAAATAATTCGTCAATAAATCATATTATGAGAATGAAAATACATATATATATATATATATATATATATATACACACACACACATACTAGAAAAGTACTTGCACAATGCAGCGAAATAATATGGTATTATGTGATTTTGAAAAAGCAATGATGTGTTTATTTTTGAATAAAATATGTATTTGAAGATATCAGAAAAATTTGACAAAAATATATCGATATTAGTATCAAATTAACTATTTAAAATTYCTACTTGTGTGTAATTTTTTAATTCAATTTTTTATTATAATTTAATTTAAGTTCAATAACAAAGTAATTTATATTTGAGTTAATAATATAATTTTCTTATAAATATAATAATTAATTATTTT